GTGGGCTGTTATTTGATCCTCGGCGCCTTCACTAATCGATCTCTTTGACTATTGTATGGGAACGACCATAATACCCAGCAATTTGTCTGCACTGTTAACTAGCGCTATTCTCCCACCCTGCATTTACTATATGAGCGATGAAGAAATGCTTTTTATTGATCTATAAGCGGTTTGTTATCAACTAGATTACTTTTGATACTTTCATTTCCTTTCGAGACTCTTACACGCGATATATCCCTAATTGGAAAAATGTTTTTTTTTTTTTTTTCAATCGTTTAATCGAATTTAAATTAATATTATTGAATAAAAAACACTGTAAATTATAATGAATTTATTCACATTTTTTTTTATTTACATAATTTCCAGTTATTTGGTTTCCTTGGTTATTTTTCTTTCTTCGTTTCTTTCCTCCCCCCTTTCTCTTTCACTCCTTTTTTCACTGTTCTGAATAATATAAAAATCAATATTCGATCATAAACTTTCCTTTTCTCTTACTAACTTTATGGCATTTAAGTATATAAATTGATTCATAATTAATTAAAAATTTCTCCACTTATCTTTTTTTTCTTTTTTTAAGAAGGGGTTTTTTTTAAATTAATTAGGAAAATATAATATAAAATTAAAATTTAAAAATATTATTTTATTATAAATATTTAATTACTCGAAAATGTATAGTCTAAAAGATAAAGGATTATAATTATATTTTATTATTTTACAATTATAATGGGGGTTGATTTTATATATTAAATAGGAAAGAAAAGATTTCCTTTCCGTTTGTCGTTTCAAGATGTTGCAAAAAATAGGAAGAATGATTCGAAATCAATGAATTACTCTTTCATCGAACGATATTTGAATGTTTTAATATTACTATTTTTTCTTACAAGTTTTTCTCTTAAAATTCAAGTAATGATATTTTAATATTCTTAGAAATTTTTCTATTGTATAGAAGAAAAAAACATTTAGATTTTGTAAGAGATTGAATTTAATATTAAACGTGTCAAAATATTCCTTACAGAAATAATACCGGAAAAGTTTAAAGAACTAGAACTATGACAACGTCATTTGTCATCACACTTTTAATAAAAGATTAAAAAAAAGAAATGTTCCATGTTATTTAAATAATAATAATAATAATATATAACATGTTTAAGTATTACACATAAGTTCTTTCTAATGGGGTGCATTTTAAGAATTTATTTAAAGTTTATTTGTTTGTTTACCTTTTAGATACCAGGATAAAAAGGAAAAATAAATGGAATATTTATACATTTTAATATTAAAATAAGGAGGAAAAAGAGCTTAAAATTGAAAAAAATTAAACGTCAGTTATATTTTTAGAATCAATTTAAAGGAATAAAGATAAAAAAAGATAATGTAGATAGCGGTAAAATAATAATAAAAAAAAGAACCTCTTTAACAGTAATAATTGGATAAGTTTAGAGGAAAAGAGCTATGATTGAAAAGTAGGGTTTCGGTTTCTTTCGGCTTAAAAACTTTATAAGGTGTGTTTTAAACATAATTTTAAATGAAATTTCCTTATCTGTCATGTTATACAGAGTTGTTAGTAGGCTTCAAATAACAAGGTCATCACCCAACGATAAAGGGGCAGGAAAAGATATGTCAGGGGTCAACGCACAGGGAATGGGGCGTCGGCACTGAGTTCTACATCCTCCATTTTCACATCATCTTGGCCTATATGTCCACGGGGCATTGACTACATATCTGCGCCTCAAACAGTGCCTCATGGTATTATTGTAGCTGCCCTGAATACAGCTGAGTAGACATTTGGAATGTAATAAGACGTTTACTAATTACTATTAAATTTTTATAGGGTTCACTTAAAGTAGAGATAGGGTATTCGAGCGATATTGGTCTAATGAATCTCTAATTATAATCCAATAATTAGCTATTATCTTTCTCGGTACCTTATCATTCACAATTAAGTTTCTCATACTTAAAGAACTGACCATTATATCTTTATATTACCACATTTTATAGCAATTAACTTTATAATGATATGCCTCACTCTCCATTAAGCACATTAACCCTTATGGCCTTATACTATCAATTTCCCATTAGATCCATTAACCCTTGTAACTTTCCTCCACTATTTAACATTAAGAACCATGTAGCCCTTTTCAGACCTATTTTTAACAACCCATAATGAGATTATCAACCGAACCCTTTACATAATTTTCATAAAAACTTCTCCTATATTCGACTCGTGCCATTATTAAGTTAATTAAGTTAAACAACCATTTATATCTACGGTAACAATTCGTTATTCAATGAATAATTTATTTCAATTTTTCAGGTCATGACGAGAAAAGTCTTCTCTATAAAATGCGACTTTCCCAAGTCATTACCAATACATTAAATATAGTTAATGGACAGCTTTTAACCCATTTCAAGAACATTTGATACGACATCAAAACAATTAACACGATCGTTAAAACGTACTTTTTTTATTACTTTATATGCCTTCTGGCATCATTTAAAGATGAAACCTTCAGTAGTTGGAATGCTAACTGTAGTCGGGGAGTAAAGAAGGTTGTAAAAGATTTAAAGAAAGAAACAAAAAACTTACTATTTTTATGATCAAGTGAGCAGAGATTTATAACTCTCCAATTTGGTGTCGGTTAGTTATTAAGTCAACTCAACTCTTCTAATGTTAAGATGGAAACAGGAATTCACTAGTTTTTGATTTATTGGGTTGGTGACTGAACGTCGATATTTTAAATACTCGTGCTTTGTAATGGAGTCGATAATTACAGTTATTTATTTACAACCTCGTACGTAAAGAATGGTTGTTTCAATTTTTATATTTATTGATTAATAAAAGTATGCCAGCAGTAACAACACTCGACCATTTTTTTTTACGTATTAACAGTTATAAATAAGCATTATATTGCTGTCTTATTCAAATATTCACGCTATTATTTAAACAAATGTACGGTTAACTGAATTTTGGACCACCCTTTATCGTAAACTCGTTAAGTCTTATATAGAAACATTTTTAACTTATTGATTTCTAGTTTAAATTTATTCAGCTGATATTCTTAGTTTTTATTCCTAATTTGAATAAGATCTTTTCTAAATAATAAATATTGTAAACTAGAATGGTAAATATAATATTCGATTGAATGTAAGATTTAGTAATGGCGTTAAAACTCATTACTTTTATCAAAATTAATGCATATTTGATGATTAAAGTTAATGGAGAATGCTCGTATAATAATTTGCGTAGAAATCAGAAAAAAATTCGAAATCTTTGTGAAAGTCCAAGAGGCATTTTGTTTGAATGCCAAGCTTGTTAGAGGGTACCTCTTGCAAATCAAATTTCACGTCATTTGGAGGAGGATAGAAGTTAATGAGAGAGCATTAGAGAGAGTGACAGCTCTGTTATTTACTCATTCTATTGCAGACTGGCTATTTCTCTGATCTTTAATTTGATAACGTTCGGAAATTAAATTTGTATGGAATTTCTAAGATTTTTGCATATTTTCTTAATTACAATTCATCTTTACTTGATTTGGAATCTATACTGTTTTCTGGACCATTAAATTTTTATCAATAAGGTTTTTCAACTGTTGATAAAAATTTAATAAAATTACTGAATATAGAAGGAAAAGAGAGTGAAAAATATAGTGAGTATTAATCTATTGTTGTTGGATTTAGTTAATTTAGTTGAAATTATCAAAAATTGTAATTAAAAAGATCATAAATTTTCAAACTTAGTTTCGAGACGTGTTTAGAAATTCCTAGTTTCTTTCTTGATTGGCCATAAGGGAGAAAATTGTTATTAATTTATAAATGTACCGAAATAAAGCTTTATCCAGGATTAATATAGACATCTATATAACAACTTGATCATATCCATAGCAAAACTGCAATTATAGTAGGAAAAAAAATATATCAATCTCTTGTAAGTTTGTAAGATGAACGTGTGAATAATCATTGATGGATTACGAGATTGCAATCTTTTTTTTCTGTTCCAATGATTGGACATAGGGTGCTTGTTAAATGATAGACTTCCTCACAAGATTTTTATCAAGTTATTACAGTGTGTCCGAGCGCATGCCGTTCGTCTTTTCATGTTTAAGTCGAAACACTTCTTTAAGAACTGCCCCGTACTACTCTGTTCCTTTTTTTTAACCTCCTATCCCAAGGTCATAGGCACGCGTTCCCACGACCGGCGTTTTGTTTCGTTCGACCTCCTCTTTTAGTTCATCCCTCATTTCAGATCTTTCTTAAATAGAGATGGTCGCACTGAACACATTGATCATACGAGTTAGAACTACAGTACTTTTCGAATAATTATCAAGTTTGAATGGTTAATACTAACACCGTGCCGTTACACGAAATACCTGCGGGCGACATCTTACATAGATGAACGTTGATATCATTACTACCCGATAAAGCGTCATTAATTACGTAAATAGTCGAGTAAGAATATTAAAAATTGTCATCAAAATTAAACAGGCAAGTTTTTAATTTCCATTGTATTGTAATGTAAACAATACTAAATTGTACTTATTACAAGCTGATTGTAAACAGAGTAATCTGTTCTAAATTATCACACAGAAATGATTCGACAGTTTAGAATTACCCGTAGAGGATATAATAGAGTAATTATGGTAGTATTAAATGATGTGTGACAAATAGAATTATTTCTTCAAAATCTAAAGGAAAAAAAAGGTAAGAGTAATACAAAAGAACTATTGATGCAACACAAGCCACAATTTATCTACGCATTTACACCTAAAGATTCAACTCGGTTCATGCTTGTCATCTACGATAAATAAATGAGGATCGTGTAACGTAAATCAGCTACTTCCATTTGTGTAACAATCACCTTTGACATCATCTATGTAATTATGTGTCACGATGTAATTACTAAATTTTCTTATTTTTTCGTTTGTCGTTAAGAATGTAAACATAAAACGAGTAAAAGTGATATAGAGTTTAATAATGTTAGTTAGTTAGTTTCTAGATGGCTTCTAGATAAAATATATCGAAAATTATGCCAATGGTAAGATTGTCAGATTTAGAATATCGAATCAAATAAGTAATTCGATGAATCATTGCGTCAGTTTAAATCGCAGTCGTGACGATACGAGTAACCTAAGCCCTGACGATGTGACCCTTTGATGCAAGGAAGTAGACACTTTGGCGGAGAAACTTGACTATATCGTCCACCCCTTTAAAAAGTCGCGAGACATCGGTGCCAACTACCAGGAAGACAGATTCATTTGATGAAAAATGTTTAAAGTTGCCTGGTTAATGGACTTAAACTTTTCAACGTATCTTCAAAACTTTGAAAATTACAGTTTACAATGTTCTTGTATATTGTATGTTTACTCCTAATTAATTTCTAAGTGCTTAATGCACTCTCTATTAAGAATATTCTAAAACTCATTTCGTAATGAGTATGTTTTCTCTATAAGATTATTATAACGTTAATAAATCGTATTCTACTTTTCGGTTGCTTATAATTGTATTATGTGCAAAAATGGAGTCTTAAATGTCACAAGAATAAAGAAAGAGTTTGTTAAACATACTAAATTTATTTTAAAAAAATGTCATTTTAAATAATTAAAATTCTTTCTCCTCCTTAAAATTTTCGTATTGCAATGTACCTTATCAACTATTAAAATATTATAAAGAATAATAATGTTTGTTAGAGTAAAATAAAAAGAAAAGGTCTTAACTCTTACCATTTTTATCACTTTCTATTTTTATATCCCACTTCTTAAACCGAATACTGCGAACAATTTTTTTTAATAAAGCTGACGAGGCATTTATATATATAAATATATATGTATGTAATATATATTTTTTTCTTTTATTTGTTAAATTGTAAAATAATTTGCAGATGCCACAAAAATAAATATTAAGATAAAAGATATAAAGGAAGGAAAAAAAAAAAAAATAACAATATCGTTAATGCTTCAACCAGTCTATTTTATGACTTACACGTCGACATCGGGTTAAAAGAAGAGGGGGAAGCGAATCGGGGGAAGATAAAAAGGTCCACGTGTGAGATTACGTTCCATTGTCCTCTAGCTATGTGTTTACCTGACCTTGCAGGCCAAGAGCGGAACATCAAAGGCGAGGATCTTAATGCTGCCTCTTCTATTTCTTATCCACTTCAACAAAGAACTTTAATGATTTTTAACGCTTATTAAAATTTATTTTAATAATATTTTTATAGACTAAACATACAAAATGTTTTTTTTTCTCTCTCTAGTTAAATTATATATAAAATATTTGCATTTCTTTCGTAAGAGAAAAACATGATGGATTTGCTGGTAGGGTGAAGTTTAATCTTTTTATACTGTTGGCAGCCACGGGCTGGATTAACCGGAAAGAGGCCAGTGAAAGAAAATGCATTACTTCAACTTCTGATTTAGAAATGTGACATTAACATCGAAACCTTTCAGACTATTCGATAACCTTTAACGAATTTTTTAAAGTTTTATTCCAAAGATTAATGATAAGTTGAATCTCTTAATGCAATAATACAGTAGAGAGCCAATATTTTAAACACAAACACACATAAAAAAAAAGGGGGAGAACTTGGCCAAAAAGGAAATATTATTTTAAAAAATTAATATAATACGAAGAGTATGTAATAAACGTGTGATATTCCATGTATAATGTATGATGTGTATTGTATAAATCACGTATATGAATTTAAATATAAGTATTTTAAAACTTATTGCGTGTTGAAGTATTAAAGTATAATTATTTATAAATAGAGAAAAAGAATGACGACAGGTAAATGACACTTAAGTTAATTATGGTAATAGAAAACAATAAGAAAAAAAAAAGAAGAAGATAGTGCAATGTGCTTCACTCGATCACTCTGATTAATCTTAGAGAATTCGTAGAGCACAGAATCCAAATGTTTTTTTTTTTTCTTAAAGCATTAATATGTTTAACGTTTTCTCAATTATTAGACATAAAATCATAGGTGTGTACGACCGATAGGGTTTGATTTTTTTTTTTTTTTAGATACGATCAAATTGCATGGTCTTTATAACTGATTCTTATCTTTAAGATTAATTTACCTTAAGTAACATTTAGTTAAGGGGAAAAAAAAGTGCAAGGCTATTCGCCGGTAAATTAATTATACGAGTTACTTAATCTTTTATTACAAGGACAATTTTAAAATGACCAATTATATTGATGGTTCCGATAGATACGATTGCGCCAGATGTTACAAAATATAAATTGTACCGAATATAAAAGATCAGTTTACTTAATTAGGTAATTATTCATTAAAAATTTATCGTTTCTAGCAGCTGTTGGATGATATTATTTTCGCATTTTCTATATTTAGTGTGAATTGTAAAGTGCGGGAGCCATAAAATGGAATTTGTCTTCGGGATTCTTTACTAAAAATATAACTGTTTTCGATGATATTTTTAGAGATTTAAGAAAATATTTTTTCTTTTTTACACTTTGTCCGAATGATTGTCTGTCCGAGTAAACTAAAAGAGTTATAAAATTGAATTCGCCTTGATTTACTGTCCTCGAGTTTTCTCCAAACTAAACACTTAATTATCCATCTTTTACATACTTTTTCGAGGGACTGTTGCACTGTAAACCAGCATTTTTATAGTATTATAATGTTTAATTTCCTTCAGTTATAATATTAAATCGGATAATTTACCAAGAAGCAATATAATATTAAACAAATTTAATTAGTAAAAAAAAGTTATATAAAAGCGGAAGATTACAGAATTCAATTTCTAATATAATCCTATAATTCCTAAAAGGGTATTCGGTATTACCCAACCCACACTTAATTAAAAGCAGGAAAAACTAGCTTTATAACGTATTGCAAGTAGGAAAACCCACTGTTTATCAGCTTACATAAAATAAGTTTCCAAGAAAAGATAATTCAGACCTGTCGCTGTGAATGATGTTCTAAAGGTGTTTAAAGGGTCGCCAGTCAGACCGACTATAACCTCCCATAGTTTGCAGACAGTGAGTAAACTTATTTCATCCGCAGACATATAAAAAGATATCAGTCTTGGTAGGCTAATTGATAAAGGGACAAATCTTCTTTAATAATACTTTCATTAAAGAAAGAACGAATAAAAAAAGTATTTCTAAATTTAACTCTGTTCACCGCCAACTGTTGACTTATCATCAATTTTAAACAACGATTCTTTCACTAGTGATAAGCGATACGGCTTAAAAAAATCACAAAGTGTACGTATTTAATTTATTAATTATAACAACAATTCCTCTATGTCTATAAATAACTTAGACACCAATCTGGAGTGTACAGATTCCCACCACCTGTTGATTGTAAGCGAAGGAATGAGATGAATCTTAAGAAAAATGCCTTAAAATAAATAGAAAATTTATCAGGGTATATGTAAAGATTTCACAAAATTTAACATAAATGCTTGGGATTAAAATAAATAGAACTATACACGAATTTAAAGTTTTATGTTTGAATAGGGATTTTCCCTTAAAAAAAAAGGGAAAAATCTTTACTAAATAACCTACCGCATCGTTTAGTTTGCCAGCAGCAAATATTCGGCAGCAAAATTGAAACAGGGGTTACAGTTAACACATAGCCCTACCGCAGCCGTCAGGTATATTCCGGGCACGTACTAAACTGGGTGAGTTTTTAAATTTGTAAGATAGTGTCCATTATGGTATGGCTTTGTCTAGTGTTAGAAAAAACTGTCGCAATAGGGTAATTATAGAGTAAGTTATTTTTAACCCTTTGTGGTTAAATTTAACCTCGGGCCTACCGCATCGTAGGATTCAGGAACTCGTCCACCCAATTCTATTGAAAACGAAATTTCAAACCACCCAGAAAGGGCCGCCGAGTTCTTATCACCACTATTAGAAAATCTATTAGAGCTATTTCGGGTATTAGTTTGTTCAAAATGGGTTTTTAACACCCCCGCAAGATTATCAGTTTTATATTTGTTTTTTTTTTTTATTTATTTTCTTTGTGATGCTTCGTGTAGACAAGAAAAAAGAAAGCCTGCAGCGCCGGTATTGTTTTTAACAGTAGTGGACGTTAAGGCTGTAGAAGATACATGGATGATCGTGAGCTGAAAGCTAAATAATTACAGCCCATGCGTGATTTGACTTGAATTACGGCAAAAAGTATATTAAATATCTTTTAGAATTTATGTGGAATATTTTCACAAAAATTTCTCTTCGTTAAGTTTTATTGGAAGAGAGGAGGAGGAGGTATGTTAACTTCCTTTTTTCAGACCAAAATACGGATAGAAATTCTATTATTTGTGGCAAGTTCCCTTTAAAATCGAGATAAGTTTGGAAAGTTTATTTTGATTTTAACAAGTTATTTTGATAAATATAAGTTTAATTTTTACTTTTATATATAACTGAAAGCTTAAAAATTCGTTGTTTTCTTCCTATCAACTGGATTTCCTTCGAGTTAGTGTTGGATGAGAAATTCAAGAACTCTGAAATTAAAAAAAAAAATCTGTATTAAATGTATTGTGTGATGAGAATAAAGTCTTTAGTGCAAAACGAAAAAATAAATTTCAAATTTCTGTGTCGAAATTTGCCGAAATAGTGTTGAGAACGAAGGGAGTTCACACCTGAGTCAAGAGGCAAGACACTACTATGGTACCAAATTGGCAGGTGGCAATCTGTAATCAACAACTTGGTGCTGACCTGGGGTGCAGGGCGGGCGAAGGCCCCTTGACCCACCTTCGGGTTAAAGGTTGTTCTACTCGTGACACGATTTCTTGCGATTGGATTCTGTTTTTATAGAATCCAATCGCAAGAAATTGTCTTGCATAAAAATTCTAAATTGAAGATTCAAATTATTTCTCTTCAATTATATAAAACCTTTCTTATATTCTATGGAGTTTGTTTTAAAGAAGTGTACTCCAAAAAAATAATGGTTCTTGAGCCAGTTAACAGTGGGTTACAGGTATTAATTACATTTATAAATCGGAATTTATTAAAGTATAGAAAATTGTATATCGAACAAGAAGGATCTCATGAATTTTTGTAACGTCTGTGTATAATAAAGTTTCTAAATAAGAGAGAAATTTAATCTTTACAATAGTTAACCGACTTTTGGACCACCCTCTCTATGTACAAATCATGGAATTTCCAGTTTATTTTAAATAATTAAAAAGAATTAATGTTTTGAAGTATTTAATATCATAAAAAGTAATGAAATTTTCATGCAATGTCGATAGATACAATTACATGGTTGAATAAAAGTGCAGTGACTGTTCTTCGAATAATCTTTAACCTTCAAATGCTATATAAATGCCTTTCTAATGTCGTGAAATGTTAAATAAGTGCTATTTTGAGAAACAGACACGAAAAAAACTTATAAAGAAAAGTAGATGTTGAAGGACGAGAGAAATGAATCCACATAAAGAGTCCTAACTACCATTTAATTACGACAGGGAGTTGACGCATCGTTGTGATAATTCGTAGACCAATACATCTTTCAATAGGCCAAGTATATCATTTACGAGTGACATCTTTCGTATACCTAAAAAAGCACAGTGGAGAAAGAGAAATAGATAAAACTGTGCTGTCGTGCTGTGAAGAAGGCTTTCGCTCGTCTCGGTGGCTATTGCAATACCGACTAGTTCTTCACCTTTGACCTTTGTCGCACGGGGGGATAAGACTATAACTTTTCCCACGGTATCGTACTTGTCCTCCGTGTGACGGAGTACCGGGAGGGATCGTCACCATGATGGATTAGAAACAGTGTCACGCAGTAGTCACGGTTGTCGCGTCACGTTACTCTAAACTGCGGTGTCTTTATTTCGAATGCGTGGTGCCTCTCCTTTATATGGAATTGAAAAATATGCCCCGGGGAGAGGTAAGCAGATGGAAGTTTTTCAACCAAGGACGCATTAGAATGGCAATTTCAGATGTATTTGTCATTCCGTAATAGTAGGTCTCTATAATCTATTAAGGAATAATAAGACTTATAAATTGATAAGCAATTGTATGTTATTTTATGACTAGAATTAGTTGAGCAAATTTATTTAATAGCTTCTCTTATGGTTTCATAGCTCGAAATTACGCCCAAATTTTGCTTTTTTTCTCTTCCTAATCGTGATTAAATACTATCTGTAAATTGTATAGTCTATTAAATATCATTCAAATTTCTAATTATACTTTATATACATACCGATATTACGGTATATTTGACAATTCTTTATCAGTTCCTTTTCGAGGTCCTGTGTCCGTGCACCTGTTGCGCCTGTCTAATTACGATACCGGTACTGCATTCGAACACTTAAATTACTTAGCATATACCGTCTTTAAATAAAAAAAATTACAATAAAAATAATTAACTGCTTTAAAAAAATGTAGTTGTGAATGCTGTGGTGAATCATTACGATTCATAACAATAAAACGAAGATGCAGAGATGCGGTGAAAGCAAATCAGTAGCTAAGCACTGGTACAGAAGAGAAAAAAATGGGGAAGCGAAAAGCAATCCTTGTCTGTGTGACATTTATGAATGTATCCTGTTAAAGTAAATAATTCATAAGTGGAACGTGTGTAATGTTAAAGACATTGAAGCCAATTAAAGGTTATTAAGAACAGGAAAACCAGATTGGGATAAGAAGAGCAGCCTATGATTATATACAAGCATAGTCGCGTGGTCCCCTCTCAAGGATCGAGTTGTGATCCAAGCTTTCGGACACTCCTGCCAACATTCTAATGGTGATAAATCTAATGGAATTCTTTCAGAAGCAAGAAGAATGACACGTTGATCCGGTCCGAATTAACTAAACCAAAAAAAAAACTCATCTTTTTCTGTTTTAAACACGAATCAATCTAAAGTACGAGAAGAAAAATAGGAACCAATTAGTATTGGCGAATTCGGTCATCGCTTAAGGTCAGAATAAGGTCGAAGGGCACGAGATCCTAGAGAGAGGTGAAGTACGATGTCGGTGACAATGTAAAGGCGGAGAACAAATAGACCCTGCATGGGGGCCAAGAAACTAAAATGGATTTTTTTTTTCCAGAACAAACATGCCATTGTCTAGGGGTGTGTTGTTGCACCTGCCTTCTTCCATTCCATATCTAAAAAAGAGAAAGTTTTAAAATTCAAAATTGACTCGAGAAGAAATATCTTTTACTTGTGACTTTTCCATTGACACGGGGTGATGTATAGTCGATGCTGGAAAATATCTTTTTGTTTCGTGATTCGTGATCATTTTTTATAAGTTATTTATTCCCGAAGATGATCGATTGGATTTATATAAACAGACGTTACTAAAAAATATTTCAAATGATCGATAACTATATGCTTATTTTCTTGTACAGAAGTGTCTAAGTTGTACAATACGTGTATTAATCACACCGGTGGTTGATGGGACGCCCCCGTGTCCGGGAGACAACATAATTATGTAGAAGATGTGGGTGGATGCTTATGAGTTTAGCCCAGTCCCATCACATCACCCTCGACACAATGGCGGCAAAGCAGGTGAATAGTGCCGCCTTCCGTCTGAACTTTAATGTTTCTACGGGGTGGAAGGATTATTCTTTTAACCAAAATTTTCTTTAAATTTCTCTAGTAATTTCACTTTATTTAAGTTTCAAATATCACTTATTTAATAATCATCAAGCGTTCGTATCCAACATTGTATACGTGGACGTGCCTAAGTGTCGTTAAGGAAAATTTCGCTTAAAATATGAAATTAAATTCTAAATTAATCAATTTTTAAATGCTTAGTAAGGCCTCTGACGTTTACTTTTTGACCTCTCACCCCTTACGGTTTTAAACAATTCATGAGGAAAGCTGTATCACACATATAAATGTACAAAAATATTACACACTTACGTTTCTATGTATAATATTTTTATATATTTTTTTAAATTATATTTTCATCAAATAATTTATAATATAAAAAATATATTATATATTTCTATTAGCAAATTAATAATATGTATATTGAATGTATATTGTACACATGTATATAAAATCTTTTGTTTCGTGTAGTAACACAATTTTTTTTTGTTTCATAGAAAACTTTTTAATTGTTAAACTTTCCACACGAAACTCTACGTAATAATATAGCCTATGTAAAGTTAACAATTCACGAACATTCTGCAATCGATTCATTGTCACGAGTGCAGGAAACGGAAAACAATCGTGTGTTTAGCCATAAGTAATGTTAATACAAATGAGTTTAGTTAATTCTTATAAAAAGTAGTATGAATACAACATGGTATATATTTAAAATAATTAAAACATAAGAGTAAACAAGATAAAACTAAATTAATTCCTATATTTTTATGTGCACGTATGAGTATTTGAAGTTTAACGCTACACAGAGTTACACCACACCTACTCTCCTAATCCAATTTGTAACACGGATTGAGGTATTGGTTTTCAGGTGGACATACGACATATGAAATAACGACACACCTTGTTAAGTATCCAACCCACCGCACGTCTTGGAAGAGGAGGGGTACAGTCACTCGATCACATGACGCGTGCACTCTGAAAGAAATGACAGGCGACCCCATGAGTAGTAAATAACACCATTTGCTGTACCAAAATGTAATTTATTTGGCAATCTGTTATTTCTTTATTTGGTGTTTATAGCTTAGTCAAACATTATATGGCTATTTAGAAACTTTTCTACTATCGCTCCTCCTTCGTGCTGTTGACCCCGTTAACGTGTAACCAAAAATTTTCGAATTTCTTTTACGTGTTTAAACATGCTTCTTCTGAAAAGTTACGTATTGTTTTTATAAATACTGATAGAATTTGAGATTGTTATGTACACTGAGAAGAATTTTAAGTATTTTTTCTCTATTTAAACAAATTTAACGAGACAATTGCTATGTTTTAGAATGCAGCTGATGATTTAGGATGAAGAATGTTCTCGAAGACTACAAAATAATAGGTCAGTCTCTTAACTTTTATAATGTGAAGCGTAATTTGCATACTTTTCGATATTTATACCTAATAATTTATGTTATAAATGCTTCACAAACTATGTAAATTCTGTTACGTATTGAATACTAAACCTGGTAAGTTCCAATCGTAATAGTTTACAACTTTTTGAATAAACATTCGATATCCTTCAACATCCCTGACGTGTTCGATATAGCAAGGTCACAATGAAGTTTCGCATTCATCTAAATCTTTACTATAAAATTATCGAGTTTAATCATTTTTTAATTACAACCAAATTAAATAGAAATTTTATTTAAAAACATTTTCATTTAGTCGTAAAATTTAATAAAATTATCCTTGAATTTAACAATTCTAAAGAGATAAACAAGGCCATAAGGTGGGCAAACAAAAAACAAAAATTTATATATCCAAGCCTTAAAAGGGAAGATTTAGATGATACATTGAGCACACGACTCATAACAAACCTTTGAGGGTGCGAGTGACTAGGCCAAGTGTGTCCTGCAATTATTATCATAAATTTGACTTTTTAATTTAGATGAAAGCAAGCACCGTAACAAAACATCAATATAAAATAATTCATTAAACTAAGTATTTAATATTTAAAAGTATGAAGTTAAAATCTCGTATATCACAAACTTTAAATTTCCTTCTGTTATCTACTTTAAACCTATCTGGCATTTAAACAGTTCTATATTGACATTAGAGGCTATAAAATAAGCATTTTTTTTTTTATGAACACATACCTGTAAATGCACTTTTTCTTTTTAATATAAATTTTTACTAACTATTCCTTTATACAGATTCCGCGTTGGACTACCCGCTGATTTTTATCTACCCCATGCAGTTCTATATAAGTCAGATGGTAACCTGTGGTTTTTCTCGCATAAGAGATGGTTTCTTCTGTTACGTGTACCACCCGTTGACGAACTTATTAACCATTTCCATGAACTACGACTCTATAAAAGTAACAAGTAGATACTACAGGTGTATTTCTTCTTAAATTATCAATATTGTCTTTTATGCTATTGCACTTAATTATTTATTTTTATGTTCCCAATTCATACACTTTGCATGCTGAGCCGATAATCTGTGATACATTAACATTTTTTTTTCTTTCTTTTTAGTTTATAAAATATCTCCAATGATTCACTTTGAGATTTATGTGGTTGTTTAACAATTTTTTTGGACAAGATTTATTATATTTTTAATGGAAATCAATCACTTGATGGGTTAATAAATTTTAAATATTAAAATTAATATTTTTCTCATAGAGTAAATTGTTTCTTGGTAAATTGATAATATTTATATTCTATTGAATAAGATTAAAAATATTTGTTCCAGTTTAAGCTGATCTAGCTAGGATCTATGTCTTCTTGAGAGTACTTGACATAATTCTGTAACGTGTAAAAATAAAACATCAAACAAACTTAACAAGCGTATACAAAGCGAGTTGTCAGATAAAGTAAAATTATTGTTGTTTGTTCTGTTATTATAATAGAATTATTTCAGGGAAATGTCAACATTACTCACTAAAGTTGCCATGTCCTAAGAAAACTTTTTCCCTGTCCTTATAGAACTGATCGATAACTTCATAAACATCTCTAGTTTCATAAGGTTATCTGATTTTTTATATAAACTTTCATAAAAATAATTACTCCGAGTTGTTAGATAGAAAATATTAGTATTATTTGGGATCAATTGAAATACAGAATGGCTCAAAAGTCACTTAATTGTATCAGTTACACGTGTGAACATGAATTTCTAAACTCGATTTTACAATAAAAAATATTTAATGACTTACAAAAAAAAAATGTGATTGCACGTACCGAAAAAAAAGCGTACTTGTTTAGGAATTTAAAGAGGTATAACATTCACACAATGAAAAAAAAAAAGAGGAAAAATGCATCTGTTATCTGGTTCAGATGATGAGTGTGACCTAAATGCCACTCTTTAAACATAAATTTTCTACTTTACGATCAAGAGAATGACATAGTTTCGAACCTTTACATACAAAATCAAGAGTAATCATGCTCTAGATATTAATACGAATGAAAATGAATTTTGATTCCACATTCCACAAATTTAATTGTAGAAAAATTCATTTAAATGCGTTATTAATTGTAGAAATTACAAGAGTTATATAAAAAAATTGTGCTCCAATGGATTATGATGAAACACTCGTGCTTATTCAAGAAGAAAACAAGAAGTTTCTTAATAATTACTGCGAATGAAGTAGTAGAATGAAATCAGAAGATCAATGTTGAAGTATTAATTCATTGACACCTCAAATGTTGCATGTGAGTGAAAACCTCAATAGATATCATGTAACCTGAAGGTTGATTAGAAAATTTTAGCTACTGCTTGTCGTTGGTAGATGTTATCTGTGAATTTATGCATTACCTAGAGTCTTATACTGGATATTGGTGCTGGTCACGCTACTCAATCGTTCGACACAAAATAACAAGAAGCACATCAATAACACAAGATCGAAATTTATAGGATTTCAGCTCTTGAAAAATGGCTATTAAAATAAGTAATTTGCTGTATAATCAAGCTCAATTTATATGACAAATATGTTATGCTTTATTAGCGAGAGAATAGGTACGAGTTAGTTGAAGTCCCTGCATGCTCTTTAATAAGTAAAACTTTAAACATGTAACGACATTCTATGCCAATATTATTTCTATCCGTGGATGCTACGATAATAATTCTGCTTTACGAAGAAAAATATGATCAATATATAAATTTCGGATAAAATCAATATGAGAACTAGAAATATCATGCATTTGTAAAGGAAAATACCAGGTAATTATATGAAGTAGTGATGTATCAGTGTACAGTACATGGTATAAAGTTCTAAATTTCTATTCTATGCATAGCTTCTGTATTATAAATAGGATAATAATTTTCTATTAGTTAAACTAACAGGAACAGAATACGGATGGTATTTCTTTTGAGATTGAGAAGCCATCAAAGAACAAATTAGTTCAGCACATCACTAAATACACATAGCGGGTAAAAAATGATACCTTCAAACCATATAAGCGATACGTATCGTTAGAGTTTGAAGAGACGATCACAAAATTTAAAAGTAATTGTCGATATATTAGAACCTTGAGGAATAGCTCGTAAACGCCCCTTACAATTACGCCCCCTTATCCGTGTTAATAGTGGATAAAAGGGGGTGTGCTGCAATCGATTACTAGAACAGTATTGCTTACCCCCTTTGGCCTCTCCCATCACACGCGAGTAACAGAGGAAAAAAAGATGATGCACACACAAGACAGCTTTGGCAACAAACAATCTTAGAGATACCACGCCCTTACATTGTACGGATTTTAGCTGTGGGGAATAATTTAAGCATCCCTGTTCATTTTTTAAACGCCTTCTTTGCCCCTTTTATTAGCAATAATGTTTTTTTTTTCTTCTTCAAGATTGAGAGGGGTAATGCGTGCTCCATCAAATGCAAGTGCTACGAACGACTGGATGGGAATTAAACACTTGAATCCTTTGATGACGATCACTGATTAGAAGAGAACTCATTTCCTTCCAATTTTCGTTGTCTAGAGTGTAATTACCTATAACGGATTGTGATAGATGTAGTCGGTTTTTAATTCCATTTGTGAAAAAATCGGTTTAAAATTAGTAACGATCTGACGAGAAATAATTTCTTTACAGATTATACTCTTTCTCTGTTCGTACTTTCTTCATTAATTGAAGTTATTGAGAAATGATGATCAAATAGCACTTGTTTCGTAAATTAAACTTTCTTTACCTACTTATATAATTGTTAATTATTTATTCTATTTTTTATATCCGTGAAAAACTCAAAATTAATCTGTTGAGTAATTCCTTTATCGAATGATCGAATGTCAAATGTGACAGGTCATTTTTAAAAACTGCGTGGCATTTTAACGAGATATTCCGGATTATGTATGATCCAACTGCATAGTTTTTTTTTAAAGATATTATTACTGCATACATAGATACAATATAATGTTATTATAGTATTATGATTAGAATACACATGGTTTCGAAAATTGCATATTATTATTATTCTATCGAGATAACGTAACTACACGCACATATATATAGTCTATATTTTGAATGTATGTATACAGCATAGTCTCATAAGGTTAAGTATGTATGTAATGTAACGTGTATTAATATGTATTCTGTATGTTATATATTAAACAAGGGAAATATTGTTTCTTAAATTTCATGATGATTTCATGCTAATTCTCTAGAAGAACGAATAGATTTTTAAAAGTATAACTCGAATTCTTCCTCTTCTTTTCGTTTGAAATTGCCGTTAATCTGTTGTTTATCAGTGTAATTTAAATAGCAGAATAAAACTTTTTATATTTTTACCAGTAAAGAACCGCGTGCGATTTTACTGTCACTTCTATGACAACAATTTGAAAAATTTCGAAAACATGTTTTCATTATTCTTCACTTACCTGACATTTATATTAGAGGATATTATTTACATAGACGTCGTATCGCATTAAATGCAAGAAGACACTGCAATGTCCGTTTTGAGGATGATCAAGATTTTTCATCTTTGGAATTAAAATCGCAAACCAGTTAAGAGATTTATCAGTAGGTGGTCTTAACTGATACACGGTATACATTCGAATAACTAAATATTTTTTATGCCTAGTAATGGAACCAACAGGATATTCTCTAGCTCCTTAAAAGGTAAAGTTATATCCGTAAATTAAATAGAGATAAATACCTCGAAAAGAGCTTTGTATAATCGATTAATATATGTATTCAGGCTTGTATCTTATTTATAATTAAAAGATTATGATGCTACATATGTAGAAAAAAAAATCTGTATGTAATAAAATAATGTAAAAAAACCAAAACAATAGTTAGAATTCTCTGGGAAGAATATAAATAAATCAAAGTGCGACCTAGAAAAGTCGTCACCTTTGAAAGAAGTGTTGACTTTACCTTTAAAAAATGATTTTTTCTAAATTAATTTTTCTTCTCAATTATTATTATTAATAAATTTTATTTAATGGAAGATTTATAACAGTAAAAAAAAATTTTTCTTTTTAACAATCAAAAAAGCTAGTAAATAACTCAAGATTTTTTATCTGCTTTCAAAACTAGAGATGGTATCTTATAAATGATAACAGAATCCATATTGAAAGGGAGGGGTGTAATTGAATTGTAAATTTAGCAAACGATAAGGTTAACTTAATTGTGTCTCTACCCGAATGTCTATCCGTTAACATTCCAATGATGTTTTTGTCATGATTAATGAGACATGTCGCATCGACATCGGCAGGAAATCACGACCGACCTATTAATTTTTGTAAGGCTCTGACGTGCCTAGAATGATTGCACTGTTGACAGAGCTGCTGCATTTTTGCAGTTTCATAATTAACTCACCTCTACTTCTATTTACAGTAGCTTCTAGCACTGTATTTAACACTCTGTCTCAGTTAATATTCTATTAATTTGCATTGTAATTTTATTAATATTCGGTAGACTTTCATTAAACTGTAAGTTCTGCATCAGTAAATGGTTTGTTATTATGTACAATTTTTTAAAATTCTTGATAAATTATATGTATAATTTGATATTTTAAGTATGATATTACACATTATAGAACTTGAGCGAAAAATTATAATTTGGGCGATTCTTGATAGAACTACATCGCTTTGAATTAATTAATAGCGTTGTATGGAATCTATTAGGAAGGTCATAGACGAAGGTTCACATAATGCTTCTGCATATTATATCATTGGGAAGAGAATCTATACTAATTTCACGAGAACAATTGCTGCAGGACACTTCTTAGTAGTATCCTTGTTGCAAATAATATTAATATTAAAGCAGTACGCCTGTAATTAGTTACACCTCTGTATTAATTTGATTTATAGAGGTAATGTTTCCTATATATCAAAAATTCAAGTCAACCAACCACAAAATGAATGATACCACTATCTACTACATACAACATGAATATTCAGTTTAGTGAGATAATCTTTCCCCTCTGTTCGCCCATTAATCAACTATTAACGTTTCTCGTATCCAATTACCATTGGTTCTGTTTATGTTCACACCTGGGTAACTCCTCCGCTTCTGGGCCCACAGTTGTTGCACCTTATTAAGTTGTACCTTACGTAGGGTCATACTTCATTCAAGTAGTGACACCGGCGGCAATTGATGAAACTGTGACACACGACAAATTGATGTCATGTCGGATAACA